CGGTCTTGCTTTTTAATTTGAAAAGGTAACATAGGAGAACGACTGAAGGCCAATGTACAGGTGAGAGACCTCAAAATAACTGAGTATCACTTGTTACTGCCAGTTTCTATGCCAAAGGACAGTTCTACCTTGAAACAGTACCTATGTCCAACTTACGTGCCCCTGGAAATTTAGCTTTAAAATTAATTGGAAATATATTTTCATATAAAATAAGATAGTGCTATTAAGCAGGCTTAGCAGGCATACAGTACACGAAGAAGAAAGCTCTCCCATTTCTGCTTCTGTACAGGAAAAACTTCGTATTGCAAGAACGATACTACACATGCCATTTAATTCTGCCCTTTGGGCAGAGCTAGCTCCCCTTACTTTAAGAATGTGCTTTTATCATTTGACTGTTTAAGACTTGCCCTTTCATAAAACTCACGTGGAAAATAAGCACACAGAAAATGAGGTGGCTTGCCATCAGCCAAGGAGATGTAACATTGAGATACAGCTACGTGACTTTGAAAGCTTTTGGTTCTAAAATAAGGGACTCCCTTTTGTGAATACAATAAAAACTACCAGTGACAGAAGTGATCAATAAGTGCTACTCGATGATCTCCAGTTATGAAAGAGAGGCCTCTCTCTCTCTCTCTCGAGTATAGATCAGCATTTAAGAATTTAGTACTGCAACAAGTATTTTGAAAAGTCAGAAGTATCTAATTATATATTCATTAGAGCGTGGTTTCTACACATTACTAACCCCAAATTTGGGACCCTAAAATAATAACTTAACTATAGGCAAAATTTCCTTGGGCTTACAGACTTCTTTTCCTTATCCTGACCAAACAGACGATAGCATTGCTTTTACTGTCAAGCATGTTTGCGCCACTCTCTCAAACATTTCAGCCTTTCATAATCTTTCTTTAAAAATATGTAACTATTGATAACTAGCAATCTTATGTGAGAAAATACACATTGTGCATTGTAGATAACAAAATACCTTTTGTTAGTACAAAGGCTTTAACATTACAAGATGTTAAAATACAATGTCATATTACGTTATCATATATACAAAGTACCATTCAAATACGATTCTTAGGGGTTAAAAAGACATATTTCTACGAACAGTCTCAAAAAAGATACACCATAATAATTAAATGTGAATATTTTTAAGAAACTGAATGATGTGTACAAGAATATCTTAATTCCAAACTTCCACGGTTTTAAGCAGATTATAAATGTGTAAAAATAAAGAGGGAAGGAGTTCTACATTACTATTTTAATGTTCAAAACTGACAGTGATTGAGATCAATGGTATTATGTGGCAGCATGAATCAAGCCAAAAGCACGCTTCTGCCTGAAAAATTGTATGCTCGCTACTGTATCTACAATATTGCTCTTCTATCTTTGCCTGTTATAGTAATTGAAACAATGCCCGTGTTAGCTACTTACTCCTTTTGAAAATGTTTTTAGAAGTAACAGTTTATTAATCAAGATAGAAAGACATAATATTTCTATTTTTCAAATCAATGACTAGGACTCACCCCTGCTTCTTAAAAATACAGAGCAAAACTGTACAGTAAAGAGATCTCCACGGCACAGGTTGTGCCCCAAACTCTGTTTGTATTAATGTACACAAAATTGGCTTAGGTGCTACCAGATTGTTGTCCATGCAGATTTCAGTTTCGACCTGTGCAAGTGGTGCACAGCACTGTCCTTCACACCTTTTCTTTTGTCAGATTAAGTTTTAGGCACTGCTGAAGGCTGTTGAAAAGATACAGAAAACCTCTTTCCCCTCTCCGTTCAATTGTGTACGCATGTACTGCTGACATTGTGTTCAGTATACAAAGATCAGTAAAAATACAAATTGAGTTTCCTTTTAACCTATTTTTGCTAAACTTTTCTTTCAATTCTTAGAAGACACCAGACTTATGACAAATTTAGTGTTATACCCGCACTGAAGCAAACCATGCACTAACGCTTACTAGTCTCCAAGTAAAAACATCTCAAGTTGCCATAGCTTGAAGCCATGGAGGTAGCTGTTACATGTTGGACATACTTTGCAGAAAATGTGAAAGCATCAAACAGGAAGGGTTGTTTTATTAAGAAACCAGAGAAAGCAGTTATTTTTTGTGAATCTCTGCAGTAATTAGCTAAAACAGGGAACAACAATTCCTTAAAGTTGATGCCCATTTGTTTTTGCAATAGTACACAAAATCAATGATAGAGACATTCTGGGATGCATAAGGAGGACTGCCTCTACTGAAGCAACCTTTTACTTAAATCATGGAAGTAAGCTGCTTCAGATGTTTATTTTTCTAAGCACTGGTTACCTGAAACATTTTCAGCCATTCCTGAAGGCCCGTTGGTGGCTGCACAGATGTAATGCGGCGACGTTGCTGTCCCTGGCCATTGGCTGCCCTCAGGTCCCCAAAAGTAGTAGGTGTGGCAGAGCATGGCACCAGTCCCGTAGTACTATGATACAAATACAAAGTGATAGTTACATGTAAAACGTTAAGGAATATTTCTAAGTCCATTGCAGAACAAAAAACCTAGTGCAGAATTTGCAACTGTTACTTAAACTCTTAAACTTCATGCAAAAACAATAGCATGAAAAATTGTTCTGCTGATCACTCAAGAGGTCAGTTCCCTCACTTTCATAAATCTACCTGTTCCTACTACTGCAGTACTAATCCTCCAGTTAGGGAAAAATGGGGATCACCTTTCAAGGCTGCAAAATTACCACTCCATTAATTGGCCAGCAGGTTGTCTATAAAAGATGCAGGTTTATATACTCCTTTCCTTGTCAGAGTATTTCCTTTCCTTCTGGGCTGCATTTGTGCCTTCTGACTGGTGGTCAGAGTCTCACCTGTATGGGAAATGCGCTAGTGCTACTTCATTGCCAAACAGAAAAACTGTATCTATTTTTAGCTCTTAATATATTTTGTTGACAAAGAGCTAGCAATATCAAGCAGTTCTAGTGGCTTAGTGGTTTGGAACTGGGCTTTGAAATACTCTATACAGTCTTTTAAAGTTTGTGTGCTGATGGAGTGACACAGGAATTAAAGGGGGGGTGACGTGAAGAGGGAAAAGGAGCCAAAGGTGCTCTCTGCATTACAGTTTGATTTTTTTCACTCTGACATGTTAAAAACCAGCTCGTTCATATGGGATGGAGCTTTTAAAAGAGCTGGGATTATGCTCCTATTGTAGGAGTCTAAAGAAATACAGCTGACTGGGTTTTCTTTTTTTTTAACATAATGTAAAGTACTTCGTTCACAGAATATCAAAGTTGTATTCCCTAGCAGGAAATTTGGAACTCCAGTAGTGTTAGCACAAGCATGAAAATTTTAAATACAGTGTGGGACTCCAAAAGACCCTTTGCTTTTGTGTATGATAAATCCAGCTTCTTAGTAGGTATGAGTTTCGGGGTTTTACCGACTTTTCCGTGGCTACAGGAATAGCTTCAAATGATGCAAGGCAACTTCATTTTAATATTTATCTCACCATACTCTACAAATATTTCACTCTACTCTTCCTTGTTCTGAAGGACAATGATAGCATGTCCTAACATTTACCCAAACTGGTAAAGAAAAGTAAAGATTGGTTTGAGCAGGCTTATTTTTAACTGTTAATTTTAATGAGTAATAACAGAAACAGAAGCTGATATAAAAATACTGTTTCACAGACGAAGGATCCTCCTAATGACATTTGGGTTTATCCATTACATGCAAAGAAAGTTCATCAGGCCTGTCAATTTTAAAGTGTGTCTGATCCTAGGAAAAATGGAAACAAGCAGGCACAAGAACGGCATAATTTGCCTAAATATTATTTAAATAAAATATAATCAAACAGTTTAAAAGAGAGAGGATCGAATGTTATTTAAGGATTCTTTTACACTGAAAATGACTCAAAATGCAAGCAATGTCAATTGAAAGTATTTTTAAAATAAAATCTGGTTTTACAGCTTACTCATTCTCATCACCTGTACAGAGATCCAGCACAAGGCCTATCATTTAAGGTCCAAAATAAGGCTCTTAAAATTGGCTTATATTAGATCCAAGCAATATGTAGCCTTGAGCTTGCCCCAGTAGAACAGTTACACTTCAATTTCTTCTGCTGTAAACTGGTTCTCAATCAAAAACAGTTGAAAACAGGATCTAAAAGTCTCCTTTGACCTGAGAGATTAAACCACAAGATTTTTGTTCATGTTTTATTTTTCCTGTATATTTTCATTCCCCTGAAACAGCCAGTCAGGTTTCTGCGGAAGCTGGACAAGTCCAGTGGCTCCTCTGAATCTGACAGATACACTTGACAAAAAGTGTACTTTCTTTGTTGCTGAACTGTTTACTCTTAAGGGAGTGCAGAGAAAGGTGTGTCACCCGAAGAACTGGTGGCCAACAAGAGCGTTCTTCCATTAGAGTGATTTAGAAACCCGGAGAAGCTACCAACTTGAGACTTGAGAGGGATGTAGAAGCTGCAACACGTGCTTCTCAGCAACAAGGCATCGCCTCTTTTTCTCTACTGCAGTGTTCACACATCTGAAAGACAACCCTGGAACCTGTTTCCCCACACTGTCCTAACTTCTCACTCATCACCTGATAAACCTCTTAAAGGAAGAGAAAAAAAAAATAAATTACTTTTGAAAGATCCATCAGTGACTGAACACTACGATAGCGTGTTCAAAAGAAATAACATCCCCGGACAGTTTTGGGAGGCAAGCGCAATGCTTGTTGAAGGGCTGATGCTTATTACAGGGAAAAAACGTAAAATGGTGTAAATTCAAACAGGATGGGAAGCAGCATGACATCCGAGCACAACTGTTATGGCAACTATACAGTAAGAACTGCAGTTGTAAGGTGTGCATCCAGGGCCCTACTCTACCACTGCTTTTCACATTTAGGAGTGCTTTACCCCACAAAGCATCTGATCGGAATAGCAGCAGTTATTTGTGTGATCTGGTACCATTTAGGAGTAGTAAGGAAGCAGACTAGAACCCGTAATAATTTCATATTGTGGATAACAAGTACGTGTGTGTTCCTGTTAAGATCAGATGGTCTGCTCTGCCTACATAAATTGCCATTCTCTCATTCCTGTTACCATAGCAAAGTGATACATTTGATCACAGTTTGTAATAGTCTTAGGGTTTATCATTATGTCCCTTTTTAAAAATCCGATTGATTTTATTCCCAAGAATGCTTCAGCCCTCAAAAAGTCTCTCAGTAAATGGGCATGCTATATTTAGAATAAAACACGAACCTCAACTGAAGAAATGCAAGCCTGGCTACTTCATTAAAACCCATCTTCAGTTCACGTAATTTAAGCGAGCTAAGCAATATACGAATCCTGATACCACCCCTTCTTTGCTTTACAGTGCTTTAACATTAAGAGGAGCCATGAATCAGGCCTAGCAATTGGAAAGACTGGATATACGCAAGAATCAGGATCCAGTTACCTGTTATTGCGTTTAATTACCTTGTGTATTCTGAGACTTTGCAGGGTTTCTTTCCCAGAGAGAAAGAACGGACCTCGGAGCCATGGTCCAACTTTCTCTTCATCTGCAAGGTGAGGGAAAAGAGTAACAACACGGATTTAGTTACATGACCAGCCTTACTTACGCATACTTCTGTAAAATTGATCCATTTTTACCTTTTACTTTAATATCAAATTTCAACAAAGTTGACACTCACAAGATGATTTAAAGCAACATTTTAGTTTCTAGCTTCAACAATATTTGATACATGTTTTGTACGGTGCATGTATATATTATTGCTGTTTTAGGGTCCAAAATCTATTGGAATTACATTCTTTTAATTTCCAAATTTCAAATGTGAAAAAGCGTGCAGAACTCTCTGTTGGTTTATTTACTAAACTGTTCTCTCTCTATTCTCCTGGGAGGAGAGGGAAAGAACTAAACCAAACCCCTTCATTCTTTGTGTTCAGGTTCACTGCTAAGTCCCTCATGGAAATGGTTAAATTTTAGGGAGCCTGTCTGCATTATAAACCAAATACTCATTTTAGGGCTTAAAAAAAATAATTCAAATACATTTTTTCTTTTGTCTACCCTTTTATTTTAAAGTTGTACATTGAAAATGTTTATAAAAATGCAGTAAAACTGACTGACGGATTAACCAACATTTTTACAAGAAAAGTAAGGATGAAAAACACTAAACCTCGGTCTTGAATGTCACCTGCAATTAGATATGATCAAAACCAAATAATGAGCAGGGCAGCTGCTAAAAGGGGAAGCCAGTCTGCAAAAATTACCAAAGAGATGGAAACCAGTGAAAGCCATGTTTACCCAGTCAGACAAATAAAGATTACTTTCTACGTATTTGGATAATCTTTAACCACAGGCTTTGGGACTCAATGAGACATATGTATGCCAAATTTCTGAGGGTTTTTTTGTTGGTTTTCTTTTTTTAAGATGTGATGCACTAAAATACTTTAGCCAGCAGAAAGATGCTTACTGCTGTTTACAACTGTGAGCTGCAAAATGCATAAACTACCTGTGTAACGATTCAGACTTTAGTTTGACCATTTGCTCCCTTTTTTTCAAAATTTCATACTTAAGATACAGTTTAAAAGTTGGCATCTTTCTTACACCACTGATTTGATCTTTTTTAATGTTGCGTTAAAGCATAGTTATTTGACCATTTATTGTATCAGTCCACCTGCCTAAAAATAAAACACCAAAAAAGCAACAGGATTCTCGAAAGCTTACAGTCCATACACTTTTGTTGGGATTTTTTTTTTTTTTAAACTTTTAAAATACCTTTACGGCTTTCCCTAAAAACAGTCATTGAAGATCTTGTGTTTTCTTCATTAGTGATTGCAAAGGAAAGATAACTAAGATTAACTATTCTCATTTTCACGTAACAGCTACAATGCAACCAGAAGAGCTTGCCTTGTAGCCGTGTTTTCTTGCCCATGCCTCACATGGGACACTCCACAGCATCTTACCAGACAACATCCAGCCAGAACCGCCCTGAGCGCTGCCGAACCACCAACCTCACCCTTGCCGCTTCCCCACGCCCCAGGAAGAGCAGCCCCCTGCGCTTCCCCCAAGAAAACCAGTTGTAAGCACAACTGAAAAATAATGGATACCATCTTTTATCGCTGTGCTAGACAAGGGAGCCATCAAAATTACTGAAAGCGTAAGTAAGATGTTTTAGCATGAATTTCAGTATTTGATGATAGCCTTTTCAGAAAGGATTTTTTCTGTTCAAGGAAAATTTTTATTTCCAGCTTGCCTTTCCGACAGGTTATCATCATCATATTCCTCTTCTGCTTCTTGTAAGAGGGAGATGCAGTTTTCCAAAAGCACACCTTAAAAATAACAAGTACGAAGCCTGCAGTAGAATACGCAGCTATAGTGATTTACTCTTTTGCATTAGCAAAGAAAACAACATGCAGTTCTCTATTCCGTTGCCTAATAATGATTTCACCCATTTCTTTTGGTAGGGGTATTTTTTCAGGTATTTTAGGGAACTTTCTCATGGGGTCCACCACACAGACAGACTTTCAAGCATCTCAGAAGGTGCTAAGTAAATACACGGTCAAAAATGTCGTTTACTACACGAAGAAGATAAAACTTTCTCTACAGCAGAGAGGTCTAGTGACAAGATTTAGACATCAGTAAGGCATCTGTGTAACCGAAAAACAAGACACCGCCGAGCAAACATCCCCGTAAATATTTAATCAGTTGCGAAGAAAACACAACTCCTTTCGACAACATTTATTTATCGAAATCATTGAGATTGCAGTATATTAAAAAAAAAAAAAAAAGAACGGCAGCAAACTGTATTCCGCATCACCACC